GGGTTTGGTGGCCCGGCCCGGCCCGGCCCGGCCCTGCGGCCTCGCCACTTGACGGTTTTCGCCCCTGGTGCGGCCCCGCTGCTTAAACCCACGGAGTTCTTCGGTGTTTCCAGAGCTGGCGCGCCTCAGCGTCACCTAAGTGCCATGCAGGTGATGGAAAGCTGGGTATGAAAGGTGTCAGGCGTCTTGTCTTCGTGGGGACACGACGTCTCGACCTTGAAGAGTGGCTAGCTGTGGGGACGGGGAGGGGGGGATGGCATTGGTGGGGCCTGCTTGGGCTTGCTGGGTAGGCAGGGCGGTACGTGATGTAAAAACACGAAGTTTGGGTGGATATCAGGGGAAGAGGCAGGTGTTTTGCAGGCCCTCATGTCTGGCTGCTGGCGTATTCCTGTGCCCCATGGTGGCAATGTGGTCTGAACTGATATTCAGAGCTTTAAGTAACTGTCTGGTATGCCCCTGCCGCGGTTAGTGCTGAAACCTGCAGGTCAAACCGCTGACAGTTCCTATTACAGGCACGGTAGGCAGCCTTGGTCTCGTGTTAAAGACCAGCCCCTAATAAAATAGCAAGGTAGTTTGTCATTTTATAGCTATGGTTCCTGTTCACGCATAGCCTGGCCTGATGAAACACAGGTTGAACCTCACGCAGTCATTAAAAACTGTTCTCTAAATTGGAGAGTTAGGCTGGTCTTAATTTGAATTGTGAAAAATAATGACAGCTGCCATTGGTTTTCATGCAGTGTATTTTCACCTCTGTGTTGTTGACCCCCTTTAAGCTTCTACGAGGAACTTCTGTCTCATGGCATCTTGGAACCGCTGACTGCACCCATTGAAGGAATGGTAGTGAAAGAAGGCTCGTGCAATTACATGGCACCCCAGGGCATCTCCTCGGTTGTCAAGTATTATTTAAAACAGTCAGGTAATTTTTTAGATGCCTTTGTATGAAATGAAAGGTTTTAATGGTTGTGGTTTTGATTACATTCTTCAACTGTCTTTCAAATTTAAATCTTCAATGAGAATGTTCCTTGTTTGTTTATGTGTGTCTTGAAGTCGCTTAGACAGATAAACATGTCTGGGAGCAATTTAAATTTCCAAGTCCTGCAGGCGCTTCACTGACTTCAGCTGCACTGCTGCCATATAAAAATCTCTGTATAAATATAATGTCTGTAGCATCAGGGACCAAGCTTCTATTTACACTGTTGGCTTTAGCATATGAAAGTCGGACCTAACACAATTAGGACAGAGATAATTTAGTAGGAGTGAGGTCACGGTCGAGGAGAGATTTGAGCTGCAGGTTGAACGAGGTGAGCGTTTGGGTGTTTTTTGCACAAGTAAGTTAACTGTGCTGTTTAACTGAGCAACTGGGAGCAAAGCAGTGAGCTATATCCTGTGTTGTGTAGAAATGAGTGCTTATGCAGTATGTGAGCCTACTGTGCTGAAAGTCCTTTAGAAAAGACTGAAGGAGATCACCCGCTAGTTTAAACTATGTAACTGCCGCATTAGGTGTAATGTGGCAGAACTACTTGTACAGTTTAGTGACTAATTTAACTCTGGTTTGAAAACCGTTAGCTTTATAAGGAGTCAAGCTTTGCTCCTTTCATGTAATTAGTTTTGTCTTTTTTTTTTTTTTTTTAATTAGCAGGTTTTTTGGACCCTAATCTTACAAATAATTAACTACGTTCCTGTCTTCTGATATGTGGAGAGAGGCTAACCGGGCAACGCTTTTTTTCAGCTCCTGGGGGCGTGCTTTGATTGCTTACCAGGTGCCGCCTCCTGCACTCATCAGATTTCACTCTGAATTGGTTCATCTCACTAAACCCACAGTAAACTAACCTGACAAAGGGAGCAGCTGGTAGTTTTACATCTATTTACTGAGGTGAATTCTGTCTGAGAGGAGTCAGATGCCCTATCACAGGGCAGTGATGGGATCTTTTCAGCTGATGAGGATCCCCTCTTTTAAAGTCATATGCAGGCTGTTAAATTGATTCAACCTAATTTGTGAAACTTTGTGCTAAGACTGTATGCTTCACTGTTTACAAGTCATCCTGTTACTAAGGGAAACTATTTTCTCTGTGGAATTCACTGTTACGTGTATTTAACTACTTCTTTTTCCAAGCAGGTGCAGATGTCTTCTATGAACAGCATGTAACTAGCATCTCTCTCCGAGATGGGAAATGGGAAGTCTCCAGGAAAATGGGACCGCCGGAACAGTTTGATATAGTTATTCTCACAATGCCTGTTCCACAAGTTCTTCAGCTGCAAGGTGACATTGTAAACAGTAAGTTCATACCTCAAAATCACAGGTATATAGCCCAAAATGGCAATTGAGCACCTTGTATAGAAAGAAACACTCAACAGCCTGAGCTATCTCTTAATTTCCGCTAGAATAGGGTGAATCTGAAAACGATAGGAGGTGGGTAATTTCGAGGTCATATGTGTGGCACATGAGTGGTAATACTTTGATAGCAAAAATATCTAAATAAATGAGTTAGTCTTTAATCTGATCTTTAATTTTTTGCCGACTTCTAAATTCAGGACTTGTCTTTCTGTAACTTGGCAATAGTTATTGAATCAGACAATACGCCTCAGCTGGTCCCCACATGGTGGTTTCCTTGTCGCTATCTCTTTGTCAACGTGTCATGCTGATTTTCAGTGCTGCCCTTGGTATGTTTGCAGCAGGGATGACCCAGAGAATAAGACTTGAATAACAACTGTGCTGTGGGGAAGAATCCCTAGGGCATTTCAGTGAGCCTAAAATCGTGTGAAATGCAGGGGAGGAAAAAGTCCAGCTCAGAACTCTTTGGTCTCTAATTTGTAAGACCAAAGCCTCTCAGACCCTCCAGCTTGTTTGCTGTTTCTGGCTGCCCCCTGGGGGTTGTATTCCCCAAACCTGAGTAAATCTCAGTTATCCCTTGGTGACTTATTGGGGCGAATGTGTTAACAGTGCCATGGAGGCTTAGAAAGAGCAGCTCAGCGCTGAGGAAGAAGCACGAGCTCAGGTCTGGACAAGTTTACTAGCTTAGGTGCAATTGTCTCAGGTGTGAGGCTTCCAGGGCCGGATTAACTTTTACCTGAGGGAACCCAGGAAGTTTTGTCTTCTCCTCCCTTTATCCCCACTTCTCTTCCTCTCTCTGCCTGTACCCTGTGTGAGACCGGCTTCCAGGTTTCCAGTCTGGAATTAATTCTTCATCTTGGGCAGCAGGACTGATTCCCCATACCCTGGAGTTCCTTAGTGTTGGAGCTATTGGCTTCTTTACTACTGTTTCTTTAGGCTAAGAAATGAGTGGAATATAGTGAAGGTGTTTCAGAGCCTGAATAGGGTGTAGATTTTGGATCCTTTTTAACTTACAGAGGGTCAGGGTACATCACTGTGTCTCTAAATCTCAACCTTATATTGATTGCACATCCAAGAGCTGAGTTTTGCTGACAGAGAACGGGGGTTTCCCGGATGCACCTCTTTTGGGATTTTAAGCTGCAATTTCATGTTAAACTTAAGGTAGGTGGTTGTGGACAGCTGCTGAAAGGAAGTCGGTGATCCCATAGATGATTGCCATAAACATGCAGTATGTGGGGTTTTTTTAATAACTAAACAGTTCGGACACCTATGCTCACATTTTCAGAGGTGTGTCCTGAAATTTAGGCTCTTATATTTGTAGTTAGGTGCTTCAACAAAAGCATCCTGTGTGCACATGTGTTGTGAGTTCCTCTTCATTGCAGAACTGTTTTTTTGAAAATCAGTTTCATTTATTTACATGATATCCAGAGAATTAAGACTGTGAAATAATGACCCTCCCAAATTTTATGTTCAGTTGCAAAGTTTCCATTTTAATACTTAAAGCTCTGCGGACTAAAGCTTTCATTAGCCTGTTTAATTTGTGTCTTTTTCCTGTTCTTTAACCTTTTAGATGAGCCTGAACATTATGTCAATGTGAAATTGTATACATTTAGGAGGAGACAGAATTAAGTGGCCTTTGGCAACCTAGAATTACCATTTTAAATGGACTGTGTGAGAAATGATTATTCCAGAATTACTTCTTTTCTGAATGTAAAGCCAAAACTTAGATTAATGAAGAATGTAGTGTGTATACACATCTATTTTTTTTACTTTTTTATATATATATATATAAAGTGTGTATATATACACACATATGTACATGTGTATGCCTGCATTTACATAGATAAAGTATTTTGTCCTGTTTACTTGTATTTTGTTAGGCTTGTATTCTTTGAATTTTACGAGCATTTATCACTTCTTAACTGAAAAGGGGCAGGGAAGGAAGTGGCTTGCCTATGGCCAATCTTTTTAGATTTATTCATCTTTATTTTCAACCTTTATTCATTCCCACTACAGCTCTCATGCTCAAGTAGAATTTATCAGTTGCACATATAGCAATAGCAGAGACTGAAGCAGTAATAATGCTGCTGCAAGTCATAAGCTTTGAAATCTCTTACACTGGTAAAGTTGTTGAATTGGTGGTCTGTGAAACAGGCATTCTTAGGGCTCTTTGATACTGGTATCTGATGAAATTACCCTTCGCTGATTTGATTTGGTTGGTTTTGATTCAGAAATTGTCCCCCCTGCGTTCACTTGAAGTTATGGTGGAATTACCAAGCAAAATTAATCAAAAGAAAAAAAAAAATCCTTTTGCAATGTCTTCATTTTTCCCTTGCTTTACTTTCTTTACATAACATGTGGTATGTGAAGAGTTAGTAACTTTCTGAGCTTTTAAAATAGCTGAGTACTCATATTGGGTTGAGGTGGAAGGGGAAAAGGGGGTTATAACTCCCTGCAACATGTTTGGTACAACAATAGGTGGCAGCAATCAAATGATGTTTAGGACAGTCAGCTTGAATAACTAAATTAAATTTAGTGCACTTATTTGTATTTGGGCTTTACATGTTTTGGTAGTAAATGTTGTGGTTATGCAGAAGGTAAAAGGAAAATGAATAAATGTTTGAGTTTTGTAATATAAATTCAGTATCAGAAAAGGAATAAATTTGCTTAAAAGCAGGATCTTTGCAAATGAAAGGACTAGATTTTGCAAATGTTCATCACCTAATAGTATTTCAGACATGCTGGACTGCTATATTGGCTGCTGATGTTAGAAAAATCCTAGATTTATATACCAGAATCCATATCATCACCAAGCAATACAGTCATTTTTTGTGCATTTTCAAATCGGATTGACAGCCTTTTTCATCGACTCTGTTTTTAGTAAGATGTTTGGCAACATGGCAGTTAAAGATTGCAACAACTCGCAGTAGTTTTTATCTGTGTGTTCAGAATGTTTTCATTAAGTTGCTTTACTTGGAATTTAAAATTACAGTTCCGCACATTTAATCTGCTAATAAAACAGAATCGCTTGGCTTTTGTTTCAAGCCTGACCTATTTTTTTTTCCATCTGTGTGAATGTCCCACATGTTTTAAATAATACAAGCAGATGAGGAGACACAAGTAAAATAGGACTGTATTTACGTAAGGAGGCTTTATAATGTGAATTAGGAAAGTGCAACTCTGATAATTTTTCATGAGTTGTTGCTGAGCGAACGTGTTTATTTTTGGATAGCGTGACGATAAATTTTGAATTTTGTAATTCCAGTTCCAAGCAATCTTAGCAGGGCTTATCCAAGCTTTGAGTTTGCTCTCTTTACCTAACCTATCTAAAATGTCTAATGTAAACATGTACACTGATTTGTTAGTTACTTATCAGACTTTAGAAGCTGAGGTCACACCGTGCAAATATTTGTGCTTTCTGGAAATACAAGTAGTTATTAATTCCACATGAGACTAGCTGTTGATATTCATGTGGTCCTGTAAAAACCTGTCACTCATTTAACACGGAAGCGTGCTAGTACTGACTGAGGTTGTAGTAGCAGGAGGATCTGTGTTGGTAAAATTGGGCAATACACTCTGATAGAGGTGTGAGAGGCCGTTGTCTGGTTTACAGCAGCAGAAATATGGGGCATCTTACTCTGTAGCAAAACCGTCTGTCCTTGCCTGCGGGAGAACTGTTTGCATGATGCAGCTGGGCAGAATACAGCTTTCCTTCGCCGTAACCTAACAGTTAGGGTGAGCTGTCTTTTGTTTCGCTTCTGGCTGTGAATCTCACCTGTGATTCAGTGTGTGGCATCCTGTCCCTACCTCCCACTGCTGCTGTCAGCTCCACCTCTCGCCTTCCACTGCAGCATTTTGTACTCTCCTCTGAGTTGATCTGACTCGCCAGTCCAGTGAGATCTATAGGTAGTCATGGGGGTTGTCTTCGCACAGTCAAGGAGTTGTGTTAGTTCGTGGAATGGTCTGACAAGCCTGAGAAAGCAGGCAGAAGGGAGAGGGTGGGACTGCACATCTGGGAGCAGAGGAGGGTGTAAGCAGGAGCAGCGCACGCTTGCTTGTCTGTTCGGCTGCCACTGAAACCACTACAACAGCCTTTAAAGCAAGCGAAGTTGTTACGTGTTCTCTGCCTTCTGCAGCTCAGGTATTGCCTCCCTTCTTAGGGAGTACTTTTTAAAAACAGGCTACTGCAGCTGGAATTGCACATCAGGAAAAAAAAAAATTAAAGTAGGCCATGCGTGTTCTTAAGCGTGTATTTGACTTAGCCTATTTTTAGGTGTTTCTTTGTATCTACAGTACTTATAATGGACTTGTTCTGCAGTTACTAGTGGAACACATTGAAAGCCTGTCAAAAGTCAAATAGGTTAGCACGCTGATTCCAGTGACCCTCTTCGTCTGATAAGTGTGAGGATTAAACCTGGTGTGTGTGAGCGCGAGTGGTTTGATAAGGAGAATGAAATAGAAAATATATTAGATAAAGGGCTACTTAGCATTTTATTGTTGTCAGTCAACTCTGTCTCCCTTTGGTAGAAAGCTGAAACTTTGATTTGACAGATCTCACAGTAAAACAGAAGAAAAAAAGCAAGAAACGATGCTGGAAGAGGAAAGTATGCTGCCTTTTGTCTTCAGACTTGGAGGGAGCGGGGCAGCTGCTTCCCACTCCAGGGGAACCCACGTTAGATCCTTTTGCCAGACCAGGATGACAGCTCTTAAACAGAAACCCCACAGAGAGGGTTTCGCTCCGTCACAGCATCTTTTTTTAGTGCCTGGTAACGTTGCAGAAACACTTCTTCCAGCAGTCCCTATTACTTGTTCTACCCTACCTCCTGCAAGTCAGCTGTATTATCGTCACAACCATCTGTGGGCCTGCAATAATGCAGTCCCCCCCGCCCGCCCCCGAAAGATGGGGGAGTTATTTTTAGCAGCATCAGTGGTGTGATCTTCAG